CATATGCTTGCAGAGCGCATATGCTTGCACATCGCATATGCTTGCACATCGCATATGCTTGCACATCGCATATGCTTGCAGATCGCATATGCTTGCACATCCCATATGCTTGCAGAGCGCATATGCTTGCAGATTGCATTTGCTTGCACATCGCATATGCTTGCAGATCACATATGCTTGCAGAGCGCATATGCTTGCACGTCGCATATGCTTGCAGATCGCATATGCTTGCAGATCACATATGTTTGCAGATCGCATACGCTTGCACATCCCATATGCTTGCAGAGCGCATATGCTTGCACATCGCATATGCTTGCACATCGTATACGCTTGCAGACCACATATGCTTGCAGAGCGCATATGCTTGCACATTGCATATGCTTGCAGATCGCATATGCTTGCACATCGCATATGCTTGCAGATCACATATGCTTGCAGATCACATACGCTTGCAGATCACATATGCTTGCAGAGCGTATATGCTTGCACATTGCATATGCTTGCAGATCGCATATGCTTGCAGATCGCATATGGCATATGCTTGCAGATCGCATATGGCATATGCTTGCAGATCGCATATGGCATATGCTTGCAGATCGCATATGGCATATGCTTGCAGGTTGCATATGCTTGCAGATTACAAATGCTTGCATACTGCATATGCTTGCAGATAGCATAGCATAGCATAGCATAGCATAGCATAGCATAGCGTATTGTAGCATAGCATAGCGCATCATAGCATAGCGCAGCATAGCATAGCATAACACAGCGCAGCATAGCATAGCATAGCATAGCATAGCGCAGCATAGCTTAGCATATGCTTGCAGATCGTATATTTTACAGATCGCATATGCTTGCAGATCGCGTATGATTGCAGATCACATATGCTTGCAGATCGCATATGCTTGCAGATGCATATGCTTGCAGATCGCACATGGCATATGCTTGCAGATTGCATATGCTTGCAGGTCGCATATGCTTGCAGATCGCATATGGCATATGCTTGCAGATCGCATATGGCATATGCTTGCAGAATGCATCGCATATCGCATATCGCATATCGCATATCGCATATCGCATATCGCATATTGCATATTTTGCATATTGCATATTGCATATTGCATATTGCATATTGCATATTGCATATTGCATATTGCATATTGCATATTGCATATTGCATATTGCATATTGCATATTGCATATTGCATATTGCATATTGCATATTGCATATTGCATATTGCATATTGCATATTGCATATTGCATATTGCATATTGCATATTGCATATTGCATATTGCATATTGCATATTGCATATTGCATATTGCATATTGCATATTGCATATTGCATATTGCATATTGCATATTGCATATTGCATATTGCATATTGCATATTGCATATTGCATATTGCATATTGCATATTGCATATTGCATATTGCATATTGCATATTGCATATTGCATATTGCATATGCTTGCAGATCGCATATGGCATATGCTTGCAGAATGCATCGCATATCGCATATCGCATATCGCATATCGCATATTGCATATTTTGCATATTGCATATTGCATATTGCATATCGCATATCGCATATCCCATATCCCATATCGCTGCATATGGCATATCGCATATCACATACCGCATATCGCATATCGCAAATTGCATATCGCTGCATATCGCATATCGCTGCATATCGCTGCATATTGCATATCGCATTTACATATATGCATATATGCACATATATGAAACATAAAACATATACGCGGTAGGGATCGAACCGGCGACCTTCCGTTCTTTTCGGCGCGGTCTTAAGCGCGTACGGCACGCTCCCGACCCGGAATTTCCAAAACGCTCCGGACAACCGGACGGACAAGCACAGACAACGAGGCGCGGTCCCTGCGGTCCCGAGGGGGCCGTAGCTCTCGTTCGGGTCCGGTCCGCATATGCTTGTACATGTACATCTGCATATGCTTGCAGTTGGCATATGCTTGCACATCGCATATGCTTGCAGATCGCATATGCTTGCACATCGCATATGCTTGCAGATCGCATATGCTTGCAGATCGCATATGCTTGCAGATCGCATATGCTTGCAGATCGCATATGCTTGCACATCGCATATGGTCGCAGATCGCATATGCTTGCACATCGCATATGCTTGCAGATCGCGTATGCTTGCAGATCGCATATGGTTGCAGATCGCATATGCTTGCACATCGCATATGCTTGCACATCCCATATGCTTGCAGATCGCATATGCTTGCAGATCGCATATGCTTGCAGATCGCATATGCTTGCAGATCGCATATGCTTGCAGAGCGCTTATGCTTGCAGAGCGCATATGCTTGCACATCGCATATGCTTGTAGATCGCATACGCTTGCACATCCCATATGCTTGCAGAGCGCATATGCTTGCAGGTCGCATATGGTTGCAGATCGCATATGCTTGCACATCGCATATGCTTGCAGAGCGCATATGCTTGCAGAGCGCATATGCTTGCACATCGCATATGCTTGCAGAGCGCATACGCTTGCAGATCATATATGGTTGCAGATCGCATATGCTTGCACATCGCATATGCTTGCACATCCCATATGCTTGAAGATCGCATATGCTTGCAGATCGCATATGCTTGCAGATCGCATATGCTTGCACATCGCATATGCTTGCAGATCACATATGCTTGCAGAGCGCATATGCTTGCAGATCACATATGCTTGCCGATCGCATACGCTTGCACATCCCATATGCTTGCAGATCGTATATGGTTGCAGATCGCATATATGCTTGCACACCGCATATGTTTGCACATCTCATACGCTTGCAGAGCGCATATGCTTGCAGATCGCATATGCCTGCAGGTCGGATATGCTTGCAGATCGCATATGCTTGCATACTGCATATGCTTGCAGATCGCATATGCTTGCAGATCATATATGCTTGCCGAGCGCATATGCTTGCAGATCGCATACGCTTGCACATCGCATATGCTTGCAGATCACATATGCTTGCATACTGCATATGCTTGCACATTGCATATGCTTGCAGATCACATATGCTTGCAGAGTCGCATATGCTTGCAGATCACATATGCTTGCCGATCGCATACGCTTGCACATCGGATATGCTTGCAGATCGCATATGCTTGCAGATCGCATATGCTTGCAGATCGCATATGCTTGCAGATCATATATGCTTGCACATCGCATATGCTTGCAGATCGCATATGCTTGCACATCGCATATGGTTGCACATCACATATGCTTGCATAACCCATATGCTTGCAGATCGCATATGATTGCAGATCACATATGCTTGCAGAGTCGCATATGCTTGCAGATCACATATGCTTGCCGATCGCATACGCTTGCACATCCCATATGCTTGCAGATCGCATATGCTTGAGATCGCATATGCTTGCACATCGCATATGCTTGCACATCCCATATGCTTGCACATCGCATATGGTTGCACATCGCATATGCTTGCACAAGCCATATGCTTGCATAGCATATGAGGCAGCATAGCATATGCCTGCAGGTCGTATATGCTTGCGGATCGCATATGCTTGCATACTGCATATGCTTGCAGATCGCATATGCTTGCAGATCATATATGCTTGCAGATCGCATATGCTTGCAGATCGCATATGCTTGCACATCGCATATGCTTGCAGATCGCATAGCTTACATACTGCATATGCTTGCAGATAGCATAGCATAGCATAGCATAGCGCGGCATAGCATAGCATAGCATAGCATAGCATAGCGCGGCATAGCATAGCATAGCATAGCATAGCATAGCGCGGCATAGCATAGCATAGCATAGCATAGCGCAGCATAGCATAGCATAGCGCAGCATAGCATAGCATAGCGCAGCATAGCATAGCATAGCGCAGCATAGCATAGCATAGCGCAGCATAGCATAGCATAGCGCAGCATAGCATAGCATAGCATAGCGCAGCATAGCATAGCATAGCATAGCGCAGCATAGCATAGCATAGCATAGCATAGCATAGCATAGCGCAGCATAGCATAGCATAGCATAGCGCAGCATAGCATAGCATAGCATAGCGCAGCATAGCATAGCATAGCGCAGCATAGCATAGCATAGCATTGCGCAGCATAGCGTAGCACACATATGCTTACAGATCGCATATGCTTGCATACTGCATATATATGCATATATAAAACATAAAAACTTTGCATATGCATATGCAAATATATGCACATATATGCATTGAATTGCATATGCATATGCATACGTGCAATATATAAAACAAAAAACATAATCGCGCTGGGGGTCGAACTAGCGACCTTCCGTTCTTTTCGGCGCTGTCATAAGCGCGTACGGCACGCTCCCGACCCGGAATTTCCAAAACGCTCCGGACAACCGGACGGACAACCGGACGTAGTCGCTACGGCTACGGACAACCGGACGGACAACCGGACGGACAACCGGACAGCGAACTCGGGATAGGCCTCCGCTCATAACATATGAGCTACGGCGACCGGGTCCGGCGGGCCTGTCCCAACGGCATATCCAAGATTGATTGATAGGCGATGACTCCGGCCGCGTATCTCGGATGTGCCCTCGTGTCCAGCATTGATGCTGGGCGACTGTACGATACTTCCGTTGGTACCGGTACATAAGACCAGAGTGGTGCATGTCTTTCTATCTCATCTTAGGATGGATCGGTATTGTTAAGAATATGAAGGAGGCAAGGAGACTGGTTGCGATATAAGTATTACAATCGGTAGGTGAGTGGTAAACGGCAGGAAGACTTTAGGAGATTCCTACTAAGGAATACCGATCTATACAAAGATGAGATACCAAGACTTGCACAACTCGTGTCTTATATACCAGTACCAATGGAAGTATCGTACAGTCGTCCACCATCCCTGGACCTGAGGACACGTCCGAGATACGCGGCCGAGAGACACGAGGCAAGGTGGAGGTACGGCCGAGGCAAGGTCGAGGCACGTCCGAGGCATCGCCTATCACGGCGGATTCATCGCCTAACCTATCTACGTTGGGATAGGACCGCCCTTCAACAGGTATTCCTTAACAGGAATCTCCTAAAGTCTTCTTGCCGTTCACCATTAACCCACAGACTGTAACCCTTATGTCGCGACCAGTCTCCTTGCCTTCATATTCTTAACAAACCTCGTCTCCGTCGACGAGCAGCTGAGTCTGGCAGCCGCACTGATCCTATTCCTGCGGACCCACAAGAAGAAGAACGGCGTATTGCTGAGGACATCATTCATAAGGTCAACAAATATGCACTACCATTGAGTACAACTCTACGATGCAACCCTATCAGCATCTATACGAAGGTTGGCAGCCGAGTCCTTGGGTTGGCTCATCAGCACACCAGCCCTGGCAACCCCCAATTGGTTGCAACCTGGGCCCACGTTTGGACCAGCAAGGCCTACGGTGGGCACCATGCAAGCTTCTCTTTCGGAGCGACCGTCTTCAACAATACCCGCCTGGAAGTCTGATGCCGTCGTACCACCCTGGCAGGTTTGCAAAGCTACCGTATGGATAATTGACGGACATGGAGGACAAGTTCCCGTCCCTGCTGTCATCGATTCTGGGGCTTCTCATAGTGTAGTTACACGAGACACACTACGGCGCCTAGACCTGCTACACTTGATGGAGGAGACGGAGGTGACGTTCCTGAATGCGGATGGCAATCGTGGTCGGGCCGCTGGACCTGCCCAATGGCATACTCCAGGCCGGTTCCGGCCCGGTTCCGACCTAACGGGTCCAGTTAACGAGATGGGTAACCGGTCGGTAGGATTACCGAGCGAACCGTTATCCGTTAACCGTCCCCAGTAATCGGTAACCGATGTCGGTAACCTGGCATGAGGAAAAATGCATTTCTGATTGCAACCAGTTTCTTTGTGACAATGCCCATTGTCACAAGGTTCATGCCCACGTGTCACACCCCGACAAGCTTAGGAGGTTAAGGCAATGTGAATGCCGGGTGACAGGGGTGACAGTCTTGTGCAGGCACATTTGGAGACTAGTTTACACTGAGATTGGGGTGATGTTGGATTAGAATACTTGCAGTTCATGAAATTGAGGAAATGTGTTGCATAGGCATATCCAAACGTTTCAGAGGGACGTTGTTTCGCCCGTAACAAACTTGTTACGGGCGAAACAAACTGGATTTCCACAGTCCCACCACTCAAAGAGCTCCCCACACCATCGCAAAGTCCCTTTTTTATTACAGACACATGTAACAAGTTGTCATAGCTTGAGATTGTCGATATATGACTGCTGGATTGTGACCAGGCCATCTCCTTACATGTCTTGCTGCACCAGCATGAGCAGTGATCCCTTCTGTTCAAAATTTTCAGGCAACATCGCAATGAGGCAAAACATTGTGCCGAATCTGCCGTACAAAGAGTGTTCAAAGCTTCACGCTACTAACGGACGAATACATAAGCATTCATTTACCTTGAAAGAATAAAGGAATTCTATAGCTTCATACAAATTCGCCTATCAGCAACTCTCCCTGGTCGTTCAAAAGTTGCTTGAAGATTCTACCATCTCCATACTATGAAGGAGCGCTTCTTCATTTCTTCATTTTATCTGAACCTTAACGTATCCTTCCAACACAATGTCCATGGACAACGGTAATGAGGTCGGCGCCTACGAGTTTGACCGGAACGCCCTGGACAACATCGCCCGTCGGCGACAAGATCGCCCACGCAAGAAATACAGCCAGCATC